ACAATAAAACTTTTGAATACCATAAAATCATTGGTCTTGAAGGGAATGTACTAAGAAAATATATGAGCAAATTAAAAAATGTTTACAATTTATAGCCGAAAAGTACATTTTTTGTATAGATTTCTTACTGAACGAACACTTTCATTTCCCAACACTGATACAGAATGTAAACAAACACAGGGTTGCAAGGAAAAAAAGTTGAACGAGCACAAAGTTGGCAGGCGACCAACTTTGTTGAAAGCGATTAGTTGAAAGGCCGTTCAGACGAGGCGATTTTTGCTTTCAAACAAAAGTTGCCTGAAAAATCGCCGCGTGCGAAAGCCCTATTATAATACTCGTGCGAATAGTGTAATAAAATATAGACAAATATCTAATGCACAATGTAAAAGGTAATAGATATGTTTATATTGCATGTGTCATGAAGCTTTTTGTAGAAAAAATTCTCCGCATAAAATCATAAAAGTTAAAGTTTTAAAAGTAAATAAACAAGAATTTAAGTAAATTAATGAACATTTTATAGTGTTGCGACATGTTTTTCTTTTTGCTTTAAAGCTTATTAATTTTTTATAAAAGCCCAGCTTATCGTCTAACGAAAACCATGTACATCCCAATTTTAAACTTTGTGCAACAATTAATAAAATTCCTCACAGTTTCACCAAAATTTCGAACTTTGGAATCAGAATTTTGAGAAAAATGTTTGGTATGCAATTTTATAGTCAGTTACTACGTTTATACGCATGCATAAGTCGCTTTAATTCATTTCGCCGCGATTCAAAACATATGTATAAACTGAATTTCAATTCGCTTTGAAAGAGCGAAGTGTTTTGGTGCTCACACTCCATTTCAAATCGGTAGTTTAATTCTCCAGACAGTTAGAAAGAGTGTATAAACACCGCTCTCACTCAAAGCGAATTGGAGATCAGCTGTTCCGCTCAAATTCCAAATAATCGCATCAGTATTTAAAAGCTGATTAATAATAATCGTAATAAAATGCCGAATAAAACTAGATTTTTATCACTTTCCATTATGTTAACTTATAAAATGTCAAATGAATTTGTTTGCTTTTGAAGACGGTTACTTTGATGCCGATATAAAGCCGTAAGTATAAACACTAGAGCGAAATGTGTACGGTGTCAATGCGCTTTCAATTAAGTCGATTATTCTGTGCGTATAAACCTAGTAAGTGTCACGCATTTTCTTCTATATAGGTTAGGTTAGAATGGTGGCGGGAAACTATTACGCCCAAGTAGCAGCTAAGTGCCATTTCGATACCATATACCTCGAATGAGTATGTTGGAGCCAGCTGGCGTGGTTGATGAAGTTGAGTATGTTGCGGAGACTTACATCAGATAGCTCTCGTAACGATGTGAACTCATATGCTCCTAGCATGGTATTTCTGCTCCTCATTAGAGCTGGACATTTGCAAAGCAGGTGTTCTACTGTTTCCTGCTCGTTCTCATCTCTGCAGCTTCTACAGAAGTCGTTGTAGGCGATTCCCAGCCTTCTCGCGTGGGTACCAATCGGCCAATGCCCAGTAAGAGTCGCAACAAGCCTAGCAACGTCAGATCTGGGTTTCCTTAGTAGGTTCTATGATCTCTCAGGGCTGTACGCAGGCCACAATAGTTTGGATAAACGGCAGCCTGCCACGGTGCGCCATCTTTGATCCGATTTCCGGAGATTGTGGAGAAATATGTCTTTATATAAGGTTCCAATTGGGGGTGAGATCCGGTCCTCGATCGACACCAATGTGGAACCCTCTCTGGCTAACTCGTCTGCAGCCTCGTTTCCGGGAATGTTGCTATGGCCAGGGACCCAAACTAAATCTAAATCGAGTTGACGACTTACTGTATTTAACAGTGTCCTACACTCCTTGATTAGTTTCGACCTTGTTGTAAAAGACGCTAAGGCCTTAATGGCCACCTGGCTATCTGAGAAAATGGCTACTCGCCCGCCGTAACGCAATCCACTACGTTCTAAGAGACGGCAGCCTTCGGCTATAGCGAATACTTCTGCTTGGAAGACACTCGCGAAATCGGGCAGATGAATTGATCTTTTTACTCCCAGTGACTCAGAGTAAAGACCTGCTCCAACTCCGCGTTCCATTTTGGAGCCATCGGTGTACATATGATGTGTCCAGGTAGAGATATCAAGCTCCCCGTCCCAGTCGGCTCTCGGCGGAAGAATGGCCCCGAAAGGCCTGTGAAACTCTACCTCAGGTCGAACGTAATCGGTTGCCAGCCTCAACTTTGGTGGCAAACGGGAAATTATGCTGCTATGCCCGATCGTTCTTTCTTTCCATATACCTAGTTCTCTAAGTCTTATAGCCGCTAGTGATGCGGTGTGTCGTATGTGAAGGTCTATAGGAAATAGGTTTGTAATAACATTTAGGGCATCGGTAGGGCAAGTTCTCATTGCCCCTGTGGTCCCGATGCATGCAGCTCTCTGAACTCTGCCTAGTTTCACTTGATTATATTGGTTCTTTAAGGCTGTCCACCATACCAAAGAACCGTAGCATAAGATCGGACGTACAACCGCTGTGTACATCCAGAGTACAACTTTTGGATTGAGACCCCATGTCTTCCCAAAAAGCCGCTTACAGGAGTAGTAGGCAATGCCCGCTTTCTTTACTCTCTCTTCAATATTTATTTTCCAACTTAGCTTAGGATCCAGTATGACTCAAAGATACTTCGCTTGTTTAGATAATCGCAGCCTTTGTCCACTTAGCTTTGGTAATTCAAAGCTTGGGACCTTATTTCTTGTCGTAAAGAGCATTAATTCTGTTTTCTCTGGGTACACTCTAAGGCCACATTGCTCGGCCCACCGGCTAAGCTTTGCTAGAGTACCCTCCATGATGTTACTCATCACAGATGGAAATAACCCGGTTATTAAAATCACTACATCGTCAGCGTAGGCCACTACCTTTACTCCTCCCTGGTTGAGCTTGAGTAGTACTGAGTTGATAGTGCTGAGCCATAAAATAGGAGAGATCACTCCCCCTTGAGGAGTGCCCCTACTAACGTTTCTTGTTAATGTATAGCTACCAAGTTCAGCTGAAATCGTTCTGCTGCGAAGCATGGCCATTAGCCACGCGCTAATAGACTCCTCGATGCCTAGCTCTTCAAGGGATTTTTGGATAGCTTCTACCCTAACAATGTTAAAGGCTCCTTCTATGTCGAGGAAGGCTGCCAGAGTGAATTGCTTAAATTCGAGTGACCTCTCGACAGTTCTAACGACCTCATGGAGCGCCGTCTCCATGGATCGTCCCCGCAAATATCCATGCTGCGCTTCAGACATGCGTTTGCCGTGGAAAAAACCCCGGACGTGCGTGTCCAGAACCCCCTCGAAAGTTTTGAGGACAAAGGAAGTTAAGCTAATGGGTCGAAAATCTTTGGCGTATAAGTGCCCTCGCCTTCCAGGTTTTGGGATGAAAACCACTTTTACTCGCCTCCACGATAGAGGGACGTAGTTGAGGGTTATGCATCCTTTGAAAATGGACAAAAGCCATTGCATAATAGCATCCTCCACAGTTTGCAACATTATAGGTATGATGCCATCTGGCCCCGGGCTTTTGTAAGGCGAGAAGGACTTCAACGCCCATGATATTTTGGGATTTGTGAAAATTGAGTCTGCTATGTGCTGAGCTCCAGCATATCTTCTTGGAATCGGATTGAACGCTTCGTCAGAATTACCCGGAAAATGAGTATTGACAAGCAACCTGAGTGAGTCTTCCACAGACTCTGTGGGTACATCATCCGCACTGCGAAGGAGTGACGGACAGGAGTAGTCCTTCGTCAATAGCCTGCTCAGCCTGGCGGTGTCCTTTATACTCTCCAATGTCTCGCAGTGGCTCTCCCATGCTGCTTTTTTTGAGCGCCGAATCTCACTTTTATACTTTTTCATAATGTCTTGGTATGGCTTCCAAGATTTAGATTTGTAACAGGAGTTGAAAATTCTCCTAGTTTCTTTCCTTAGTCTAGATAAGTCACTATTCCACCAAGGTGGATATGGCTTCCTTGAATATCGTAGCGGGCAGGCCCTGTTCATTGAATTCCGAAGTGTGGTCTCGACGACTCTCAGATTGGCCTCAATCTCGCTGATGGAGCTCACCAGTGGGCTAGGAGCCAAACTAAGCTTCTCCCGAGCCAGACGATCGAATTCAATCCAGTTAGTTTTCCTAGGGTTGCGATAGGATTTGATTATTTTTTTAATAATATTGACACTGAAAGTGATATACTTATGGTCAGAAAAAGAGCTCTCATCAGACACTTCCCAGTTGTCAACACAAACATTATTGTTTTCTAGTAACAATGTTATATCGAGGACTTCCTCCCACCCTTCGTAGTTTTCCGTACTCGGAAAGGTGAAAGTGGGAGTCGTCCCCCTATTGCATATAGATAGCTTAGTGCTAATGATAAAATCAAAGAGTGACTCACCCCTTTCGTTCGTTTCACCGCTTCCCCAGAGGCAATGTCTTGCGTTGGCGTCCCATCCAATCACAAGCGAAGCTTGTTGCTGTGTCGCTGCTGCTACCAGTTCCTCTACCTCCGCTGGAGGGGTTTCTCTGCCGTGTGCGAAGTAGGCGGACGCAACATACGTAGGCCCTCCGTGCTGCGACAGTCTTACAACTGCCAAGTCCTCGCTGCTGTAAGAGGGACAAAGAAACGCTTTATATTCTGTTTTTGCCAGGACGCAGGCTCTGGGCTTACCATTAGTGCAGGCATAAAAAACTTCGTACCCGGGGATGTTTAGGCCCATGACGGTCGAGTCTTGAATCCAGGGCTCTTGGATGAGTCCAAGGTCGTAGTCGTTCTCTCCTAGGAAGACTCTCAGGTTATCTGAAGCGCACCTAGAATGCTTCAGGTTAATCTGTACGACCTTGCTCATTTTTATTAGATGTTGGTAGTGTTCGGGCCGACCAGATTACTGGCTTCCTCGGCCACCTCCATCTGCACCGTAACCTCGCTGCGAATAGGGTCTGGTGACGGTTCCCCGTCCTTTATTTACTCCGGGGGCGGTTCTTCGCCTTCGTTGTCGTCGTCGGGTTCTCTGCCCCGGAAGATTTTCACTTTGGCGTGTCTCACGCCGAAGTGGATTCTGCAGCCTAGCTCCTCTAGGACCTTTGCTGATTCCTCAGTGATGAGGAACAGCACGGGTTGGCTAACTGCTTTTACGTCCTCGAATTTCAGGACGCTCCAGTTAGTCATAGGGACACGGGGGTTCATAATGGCGATGTATTGTAGAAGTTTAGCCCTATCCATCCTCATGTTGGGCAACCAGATTCGGGCACGGGGTCTCGTCGGAATGTCCTTCGCCGGGATAAGTTTGAGCTTTAAGCCCAACCAAGCATCGCTGATCTCAGTGATGCTCCTGCGCAGGAATTCCTTGGAGAACTCGTCCTCGCATCGGATCACCCTATGACCTCTGATGACCTCCTCAGAATCGAACCGCGGTATCGGGCCCTCGGGGTTGGCTAGGGTACTTTCCATCGCCAAACCCGAAAGCCGGACCTCGATCTCTGGCCATTTTTCGAGGACTGGTTTGCCGCAGTTAGACGACTCGTCTATAAGTGCGACACTCAGGTGGTCCTTCACTATATCGCTGTACTTCAGCGGGCCTTGCGCTACGGGTTGGGATACGCCACTCGCATCTTTGCTTCTCTTCGGAGCGTTAGAGGTGTCGTCTCGCGATCGGTTGCGTTTGTTCGTCTTGCCCGCCTCCACGCGAGACTTTGCCGCTTTGCTACTATCAAAGGCGGCAACGATCGCCTCGTATTTTTTCCGGTCGTCAGTGTCGCGCACGTTCAGGATGCCCTCCTCCTGGTTCTGCGCAATCTTTTTCAGGATGAATTTAGCCTTCCTGTAGGTCTTGGCATTTACCGCTGTCGGTAGTGCAGACTTGGCCCCCGATGCCTGCGGTCTCGAGGTACTGGAGGCGGAAGGTGTCGATTTGGTAGATATAGGAGTCGCCTTTCCTGATGGGCGCATGTTCATCTGACGACTCGCCAGAGAGGAGCATGAGGCCTCAGGTACGCGACCTGCATTCTTGCGTTGACTCGCAGTTGCCGATGATGATGGTGCATCAAAGTTCCCCGCTGTCGATCCCCCAGTGCGTTGGCTCGCACTGGTTTTGTGGGTTCGTGAGGGGCTGTGGTTGGGAGTACTATGGCTGGTACTGCCTGAGACCGACTCCGCCACCGTCTCCTGGCTGGAGCGAAGCAGAGCGTCCTCGTCGATTTAGGATTTGGGGGAGTAAACCTCCTACCCCAGAAGGTCCGAGACTTCGGCGATTTTAGACATAACTTTTTTCATAATCGTCCACTTTACTCTACAGGGAGAGTGCGGTGGACTCGAGGTGTGGTGGGGCGAAAACGACCAGTCGACCAGGGTAGCGCCCCTTTTCCCTGGCAAGGCCACCGTTACTACCCGGGGCGGCCCGGTGTCGAGTAGGCTCCGTAAAAATACAGCCTAGAAAATTTACCCCCCCGGCTGCAAACTAACCCAATAGGCACGGACCGCGTAACACCCTGGATTAGGGGGGATGAAAAGGATAGGGATCGGATGGGGAAAGCGATAGGTTGGAAAAAGGGAAAGGGTTTGTCGGTGCGGTGATCTCCGCATGGGAATCCGGGAGGATTCAGCTAGAATCGACCACAGGTTCTCATACGGAGCTTCCCTCTTAGTTCATGATGAGAAGGAAGTCCCGGTTAAGGACAACAATATCAACACTTAAGCCCCATCCCCACGCTAAGGAGACCAACACTGATGGGGTTCTTCTATATAGAGAAGTTCCTTTTTATATGAAAAAAAATGAGTGACTGTTAGCAAAAAAATTTTCAAAAATCAACGAGATTCTTCAGCAACTTGAAACCTGCAATTAATTATATTATTTATTATTTAAATAAATGAATTCATATAACCTTCAAACGTAATTTTTACATGTCTTTTAGCTGCGTTCGAATTAAAACAATTTATCTACACTATCGAGAATATCGACGGCAGCGCACTATCGGAAAAAATGACTATCGGCACAATCGATAGTGACCCAAAAAACTATCATCAACTATCGATGGTGTCCACTACCTATAGTTTACCACCAATAGATACATAAGTTGTTGGCGTTCTCACTAGGGATGGGGGTTGAAACTCGATTTTTTCCGAGTTTCGAACATTGCCCAACCATTCGATTATTCGATTCGAAATTGGGTGGTGCAAATTCGATTTAATTCGAATTTTTTTCGAATTTTCAACAATTTTTTCCACTGCAATTTTAAAAGTTTGTTTGAGAGCATGATACCTCAAATCGAAAGAGATTCAATTGAACTTACATTAATATGATTAATTATCCGTATCGCTCTTCTTACTGCCGGTTTCACTAAAGCAATTTAAGTGAAAAATTATTATCTTTTCTGTCAGTTCCCATATTAAATTTAAATGAAAAAATCATTTTTCACTTAAATTGCTTTTTGAAACTGGCTTTTGCCTTCACAACAAAAAAAATAAATATCTTTTTCTCAAATATCATAAATATCTCAAAAATGCATCAGATAAAAATTTAAATATTTATCAAATATATCATGTATTTTTTATATCAATTAAAAGAAATAACAAATGTAGATGTATAGAAACTAAGTTCTTGCTTTACAAATACAAAGGAAATTCGCCCATATTTACATAGTTCTGTTATGTTTATACTTATACAACGAATAAAAACCTCTTACATTTAATGACAATGTATGATTTTGCTTTTTAAGGCGAGATCTTTAAGTAAACAAGGAACAAAATAATAGGTCTGTTCAGCAGTGACCATAAGATCATGTGCACATGGTATTGCATTTGCATATTTCGGCGCATTTGTAAATTCACAACGGTTACCATGGTGGCAAGTATATAATTTGCAAATGCAAATACAAAGCCAAGACCATTTTTACAATATCCCGCACAGTCCTATTATAGATTACACAGGTACATCATATGTATACATATATATAGCATTTATGTACTTTAATTTAGTAAGTCTAAAATCACATTTTTTATTATATTTTTTATATACCCTTGAGGTCAGCTGTTTAAAATGTGTTAAGTGTTTGAAATGTGGGTTTATATGGTGCTGGTTATGTAATGTGCTAGACTTTTATAGAACAATTATAAACGTTTAACAACCAAAAGAAAAATAGCCAAAACTGGTCAAAATGTCATTTAACTTAAACAGCTGACCACAAGGTTGTATACATAGATAATTACATATTAAATTCGTGTTTCACACATTTCGCAAACATTATATTTTCAACCGTTTGCACAAGATTCAATAAAAAAATATACGCTTCATTTAAATCATTTTTCCTTAAAACAATGTATCAATATTTATACTGAGAAAAACAAGAATACATATCCAAAATTCGTTAAAGTTTGCATCACTTTTGAAGAATTCGGATCGAAATAGAACACTGGAAATAACTAAGTTGTACCACTTACATAGTTCTAAAAAATCAACAATTGAATAAAAAATAAATTTTGGATCTACAGTGACCATAAAAATTAGAGCACTTTAATATTTGGACATGTTTTGACTTCATTTTCTTTTGTTGGTTCAATGTTCATAAATTGTTTATAAAAAATTCCTCAACAAATATCATATATGCAAAAAAAATTTCAAACTTTTTCAATTTGTAGCTACTTCAAACTTGCATTTTATAATACCAAAATTGAACGGGCTAAAAAACTGCCAACCCAACTTCTTTTTTTATTTGGAAATTTTGTTGAATTTTACATATATAATATTTTAAAATTAAGTCAAAACATGTCCAAATATTAAAGTGCTATTATTTTTACGGCCACTGTAAGAGTGGTTGTACAGACCAAGACCAAGTCTTGCGCTAATAGCCTCATATGTCCCNGTCATGTATTTTTTATATCAATTAAAATAAATAACAAATGTAAATGTATAGAAACTACGTTCTTGCTTTACAAAAACAAAGGAAATTCGCCCATATGTACATAGTTCTGTTATGTTTATACTTATACAACGAATAAAAACCTCTTACATTTAATGACAATGTATGATTTTGCTTTTTAAGGCGAGATCTTTAAGTAAACAAGGAACAAAATAATAGGTCTGTTCAGCAGTGACCATAAGATCATGTGCACATGGTATTGCATTTGCATATTTCGGCGCATTTGTAAATTCACAACGGTTACCATGGTGGCAAGTATATAATTTGCAAATGCAAATACAAAGCCAAGACCATTTTTACAATATCCCGAACAGTCCTATTATAGATTACACAGGTACATCATATGTATACATATATATAGCATTTATGTACTTTAATTTAATAAGTCTAAAATCACATTTTTTATTATATTTTTTATATACCCTTGAGGTCAGCTGTTTAAAATGTGTTAAGTGTTTGAAATGTGGGTTTATATGGTGCTGGTTATGTAATGTGCTAGACTTTTATAGAACAATTATAAACGTTTAACAACCAAAAGAAAAATAGCCAAAACTGGTCAAAATGTCATTTAACTTAAACAGCTGACCACAAGGTTGTATACATAGATAATTACATATTAAATTCGTGTTTCACACATTTCGCAAACATTATATTTTCAACCGTTTGCACAAGATTCAATAAAAAAAATATACGCTTCATTTAAATCATTTTTCCTTAAAACAATGTATCAATATTTATACTGAGAAAAATAAGAATACATATCCAAAATTCGTTAAAGTTTCCATCACTTTTGAAGAATTTTTATCGAAATAGAACACTGGAAATAACTAAGTTGTACCACTTACATAGTTCTAAAAAATCAACAATTGAATGAAAAAAAAATTTTGGATCTACAGTGACCATAAAAATTAGAGCACTTTAATATTTGGACATGTTTGACTTCATTTTCTTTTGTTGGTTCAATGTTCATAAATTGTTTATAAAAAATATATGTAGTTCATTCCTCAACAAATATCATATATGCAAAAAAAATTTCAAACTTTTTCAATTTGTAGCTACTTCAAACTTGCATTTTATAATACCAAAATTGAAACTGCCAACCCAACTTTTTTTTTTAATTTGGAAATTTTGTTGAATTTTACATATATAATATTTTAAAATTAAGTCAAAACATGTCCAAATATTAANACTTCTTTTTTTATTTGGAAATTTTGTTGAATTTTACATATATAATATTTTAAAATTAAGTCAAAACATGTCCAAATATTAAAGTGCTATTATTTTTACGGCCACTGTAAGAGTGGTTGTACAGACCAAGACCAAGTCTTGCGCTAATAGCCTCATATGTCCCACATTTCTTCCTCAATTGACCGCAAAAATACTAACATATTTAAATGTTCGGGTGAGAGACGGTTCCTCAACTGGGTTGCTATAAGTCCAGCATGTGAAAATAGTCGCTCACATGGGACTGACGTTGCCATAACTGACAAATGTTTTTGGGCAATTGGAAAAAGCAAAGGAAAATCATTTTTCAACGCCTGCCAAGTTGTTAAAGGGTTTTTGTTTAATTTTCGAGAAACAGCTGGCCTGATTAAATAAGCTCGCAGCTGGTCCGAATTTATTTCCGAAACGTTACTTCTATTGCATTGACTGTTGCTAATGTTTTGATCTAAATATGACCATATGCCTTCTTCGTCCGATGTTTGAAGCTCAGCGATACTTTCCACAGATTCATTACTTTGGGTTTGTCTGGTTATTAATAAGTTACCTATTCAAAGTTTAAAAAACAGAAATAGTTGTTTCTGATAAATAGGTATTTGTCTAATGTACCAATAAAAGCAGCAGCCCGCGAACAGTAGATTGAGTTTTCGAAGGCTGCCTTCTTGTACCTTGGATCAAGTATTGTTGCCACACCGTAAATAATCACCGCCTCCAAATTTGCGTAACGTTTTTGGACCTCGGTCAACAGGACGTCTTTTGCTATTTTGCCTATTGCTGTAGTCGGTTCGATGATCATTGTTGCCTGTAAAATATAGATTTAGATTTATTTACAGCCAAATTCATTATTAATCATTTTGTTCATCTATTGGTTAATGTCTACAACGTCTACTACGTCATCTTAAAAGTACAAAATGACTCTAGAAACAATTTACTAATTATTTCTTTAACCTTTTTTAATCCTGCAACCAATGGAATGCACTTGCTTATGTTTACATTTTTTTTAACGCAGAGTTCACTTGTAATTTCATGCAAAGGCTTAAGAATATCC